GGGGCCGTGGTCTGCGTGTGGGGGCGGGGCCTGCGTGAGGGGGAGTGGCCAGCGTGTGGGGGCGGGGACTGCGTGACTGGCAAGGGCCTGCGAGAGGGGTGTGGTCTCCGTGTGGGGGAGTGGTCTGCGTGTGGGGGCGTGGCTTGGGTGAGGGGGCGTGGTCTGCGTGAGGGGCGGGCCCTGTGTGAGGGGGCGTGGCCTGCGTGTGGGGGCAGGGCCTGCGTGAGTGTTCAGGGCCTGAGCGAGTGGGCGTGGTCGGTGTGTGGGGAGGGGCCTGCGTGAGGGGGCGTGGTCTGCATGAGGGGCGGGGCCTGCGAGAGTGGGCGTGGTCTGCTTGAGGGGGCGTGGTCTGCGTGAGGGGGCATGGTCTGCGTGAGAAGGCGTGGTGTGCGTCAGGGGCGGGGAATGCATGAGGGGGCGTGGTGTGCATGAGAGGCGGGGCTTGCGTGAGGGGGCGAGGTCTGCGTGAGGTTAGGGGCCTGCGTGAGTGGGCAGGACCTGCGTGAGGGGGCGTTTTCTGCGTGTGGGGGCGTGGCCTGCGTGAGGGGGCGTGGTCTGCGTGTTGGGGCGTGGGCTGCACGAGGGGGGATGGTCTCCGTGTGGGGGCGTGGCCTGCGTGAGGGGCAGGGCCTGCAAGAGGGGGCGTAATCTCTGTGATGGGAGGGGCCTGCGTGAGGGGGCGGGGCCTGCATGTGGGGGCATGGCCTGCGTGAGGGGTTGTAGTCTGCGTGTGGGGGCGTGGTCTGCGTGAGGGGTGGGGCCTGCCTGAGGGGGCGTGGTCTGCGTGTGGGGGCATGGCACGCATGAGGGGGGTGCTCTGCCTGAGGGGCGTGGTCTGTGTGTGGGGAGTGGCCTGCGTGAGGGGGCGTGGTCTGCGTGAGGGGCGGGGCCTGGCGTGACAGGGCAGTGCCTGCGCGAAGGGGGCGTGGTCTGCGTGAGGGGCGGGGTTTCAGTGAGTGGGCGTGGTCTGTGTGAGGCACATGGTCTGCGTGAGAGGGCGTGGTCTGCGTGAGTGGGCAAGGCCTTTGCGAGGGGGCATGGTCTGCGTGAGTGGGCGTGGTCTGCGTGAGGGTAGGGGCCTGCGTGTGGGGGCGTGGCCTGCGTGTGCGTGCGTGTTCTGCGTGAGGGGCCGTGGCCTGCGTGTGGGGGCTTGTTTTGCGTGACGTGGCGGGGACTGCGTGAGTGGGCAAGGCCTGCGCGAGGGGGCGTGGTCTGCGTGAGGGGCGGGGCCTGCCTGAGGGGGCGGGCCTGCGTGAGTGGGCAGGGCCTGCACGAGGGGGCGTGGTCTGCGTGAGGGGAGGGCACTGCGTGAGGGGGCAGGCCCATATATCCCAGAAGTTTAGGTCTGCCGACTGGCCTCTCCACAAAAGTACTACATCTCCCATGATTCCCCCGGAGCGGGGCCTGTGCGAGGGGGCGTTGGCTGCATGTGGGGGCGTGGTCTGCGTGAGTGGCGGTGCCTGCGTGAGGGGGCGTGGCCTGCGTGAGTGGGCAGGGCCTGCTTGAGGGGGCGTGGTCTGCGTGAGGGGCGGGACATACGTGAGGGGGCGTGGTCTGCGTGAGGGGAGGGGCCTGCGTGAGTGGGCCGGAAATGCGCGAGGGGGCGTGGTCTGCGTGAGGGGGAGTGGCCTGGGTGAGGGGGCGAGGCCATACATCCACGAAGTTTCGGCCTGCCTGCCGGCCACTCCACACAATTACTACATTGCCCAGGATTCCCCCGGGGCGCGGCCTGCGAGAGGGGGCGTGGTCTGCGTGCGTGAGGGGGCGGGGCCTGCGTGAGGGGAGGGGCCTTCGTGAGGGGGCAGGGCTTGCGCGAGGGGGCGTGGTCTGCGTATGGGAGCATGGCCAGCGTGAGGGTGCGGGGCCTGCGTGAGGGGGCGTGTCCTGCGTGAGGGGGCGTTTTCTGCGTGTGGGGGCGTGGCCTGCATGTGGGGGCTTGGTCTGCGTGAGGGGCGGGGCCTGCATGACGGGGCGTTGCCTGCTGGTCTGCGTGTGGGGGCGTGGCCTGCGTGAGGGGGCGTGGTCTGCGTGAGGGGCAGGTCCACTGCGAGTGGGCGTGGTCTGCGTGAGGGGCGGGGACTGTGTGAGGGGGCGTGGCCTGCGTGAGGGGCGTGGTCTGCGTGAGGGGCGGGGCCTGCGTGAGGGGCGTGGTCTGCGTGAGGGGCGGGGCCTGCGTGAGGGGCGTGGTCTTAGTGAGGGGAGGGGCCTGCGTGAGGGGCAGGGCCTGCGTGAGGGGTCGGGGCCTGAGTGAGGGGGAAGGGCCTTCAAGAGGGGGCGTGGTCTGCCTGTGGGGGCGTGGCCTGCGTGAGGGGAGGGGCCTGCGTGAGGGGGCAGTGCCGGCGCCAGGGGGCTTGGTCTGCGTGTGGGTGCCTGGCCTACGTGCCGGGGCGTGGCATGCGTGAGGAGGCGGGGCCTGCGTGATTGGGCAGGGCTTGCACGAGGGGGCGTGGTCTGTGTGTGGGCACATGGCCTGCCTGAGGAGCAGGGGAATGCTTGAGGGGGCGTGGTTTGCGTGAATGGAGGGGCCTGCGTTAGTGGGCAGGGACTGCGCGAGGGGGCGTGGTCTGCGTGTGGGGGCGTGGCCTGCGTGAGGGGGCGAGGCCATATATCCCCAAAGTTTCAGCCTGCTGGCCGGCTGCTCCACACAACTACTACATCTCCCATGATTCCCCGGGGCAGGCCCTGCATGAGGGGGCGTGGTCTGCGTGAGTGGAGGGGCATGCGTGAGGGGGGGGGCCTGCGTGAGTGGGCAGGGCCAGCGCGAAGGGGCGTGGCCTGCGTGAGGGGGCGGGGCCATATATCCCTATAGTTTTGTCCCGCCGGCTGGCCGCTCCACACAAATACTACATCTCCCATGATTCCCCCGGGGCGGGGCCTGCGTGAGGGGGCGTGGTCTGCGTGTGGGGCGTGGCCTGCGTGTGGGGGCGTGGTCTGCGTGAGGGGCGGGGCCTGCGTGACTGGGCGTGGTCTGTGTGAGGCACATGGTCTGCGTGAGAGAGCGTGGTCTGCGTGAGGGGCGGGGCCTGCGTGAGGGGGCGTGGTCTGCGTGAGGGGGCTTGGTCTGCGTGAGGGGAGGGGCATGCATGAGGGGGCGGGGACTGCGTGAGTGGGCAAGGCTTGCGCGAGGGGGCGGGGCCTGTGTGAGGGGGCATGGTCTGCGTGAGGCTCGGGACCTGCGTGAGTGGGCAGGTCCTGCGCGAGGGGGCGTGGTCTGCGTGTGGGGGAGTGGTCTGCGTGAGGGGGCGTGGTCTGCGTGAGCACTGAGCACCAAGCACTGCCAGGTACCCCCTCATGGCGCTTCAGGTCCGGGCCGCAAAGCCCCATGGGAAATGTAGTTTTTGGGACCCAAAACGGAGTCTCAGAGCCCGAGGAAAGGGCACTTCCGGTTCGCCACTGGGCACTTCCTGTCCCAGTCGCTGAGCCTCATGGGAAATCTAATTTCCGGGACTCACAACGGACCCTTAGAGCCCGAAGAAAGGGTACTTCCGGTGCAGTTCCGAGCACTTCCAGTCCCGGCCGCCCATTCTCATGGGAAATGTAGTTTCTGCGACGCGAAACCGAGCCTTAGAGCCCAGGAAAAGGCACTTCCGGTTCAGTCCCGAGCACTTCCTGTCCCGGATTCAATGGAAATGTAGGGGGTCGGGGCCTGCGTGAGGGGGCAGGGCCATATATCCCCGAAGTTTCGGCCTTCTGGCCAGCTGCTCCACACAACTACTACATCTCCCATGATTCCCCGGGGCAGGCCCTGCATGAGGGGACGTGGTCTGCGTGAGTGGAGGGGCATGCGTGAGGGTGGGGGCCTGCGCGAGGGGGCGTGGTCTGCGTGAGTGGGCGTGGTCTGCGTGTGGGGGCGTGGCCTGCGTGAGGGCGCCCATGTGGACCTGATCATCTCAAGGGACTGGCCTCTTTCCAGTGAAGCCACAGCACTATTGCAAGCCTTGGACTTGCATTTCCCTCTCAGAATGGATCTGCAGCTGCTAGTAGGTGGCCGAGCCTTGTAGATAGGCATGCTGATGATTGGGCAAACTTGGCCTTTTCTCCTGCTTATGAGGCAAACTACAACCGAGCTGCAAGTGCTCACATGTACCCATGTTTTCTTGCCTCAGAATCCCTTCACTAGAAATGCCTTCATTATGCCACTTCTGATCATATTACCTTCTTAATACCAAGCTGAAAGATGCCTTCTCATTCATTTGTTGTTAGATAATACTGAATTCTAAACTCACCCAAAAGCCAAGTAACCAAGAAAAATCTCTTTTGTGGTTTATTAGATAGAAAAATTTTTAGTTCAGAGAAATCATCAGATTGATGTTCCTAGATCGTGTCCAGGGTCCAGAGTGATGAAACTTTCAGTGATAGTGAATTGTTCACCTATGAGACATTTGAAATGCAGCTGGGAGAATGAAGAACCTTTATTTTTTAATATATTTTTATTAATTCTTTGAAAATTTTATACATCTAACTCCTCCAAGATCCACCCTTTACTCTCTAACCTTCACCCTTTCGTGTTCTTTTGTAGTTTTTGTTTTAACCCACTAACTCCAGTTTGTGCCGCCTATGTACTCACTGGAGAGTGGTCAACCTACCAGGGCCCGCCCCTCCCTCCCTCTCTCCCTCCCTCCCTCCCTCCCACTCTCCCTCCTTCAGAATATAAGCTATCAATAGATGCTCAGTTAGGGGTAAGACTCATAAGCCCCTCCTGCCTCCATGCTGGGCTGTTGACTTGGATTGTTAACTTCAGATGGTTTAAGTAACATATGTGGCAGCCACGACTGCATTTTAGTCTACTATCTGCTGGAAAACATCCACACATCTATCTTAACAGACAATGGTAAGTTGGTTAAGCGTGCTTAAATTAGGAAGCCCTTTTAAACTTTCTGAGCATGTGTTTTGCATGTTAAAGTTGATTCTCATTGTAGTTCCTAGGGTGTTTTTCATGTGAATTTCCTTCTGATGCTTAGTAAGGCTTTTCTGGTTTTTGTCACAGTGTCACTGAAGACTGTTTGATACCTATCTGTTGTGGGCTATATGAACTCTTAAGTGGAGTTCTTCTTATCCTGCCTGATGCTATGCTTGAAGATGTGATGGACAAGATTATTCAAGCAGATACTCTTCTAGTCCTCGTTAACCACCCATCATCTGCTATCCAACAAGGAGTAATTAAAGTAAGGGCACAGACTACATAAATGATACCTTCGTCAGGAAAATAAATATATGTATAACTTAAATTGTTTAGCCGGGCGGTGGTGGCGCACGCCTTTAATCCCAGCACTTGGGAGGCAGAGACAGGCGGATCTCTGTGAGTTCGAGACCAGCCTGGTCTACAGAGCTAGTTCCAGGACAGGCTCCAAAGCCACAAAGAAACCCTGTCTCGAAAAACCAAAAAATATATATATATATATATATTGTTTAGTATATGTAAAGACTTAAAGCTTATTTTATTTTTAAGAAGAATGAACTGTCGTGGCTAGAGAGATGCTTAGACAGAGGTCCCAGGTTCAATTCTCAGCACCCACCCGGTGGTTCACAACCATCTGTAACTCCAGTTCTAGGGCATCTGACACCTTTTCCTTGCCTCTGTGGACACCAGGAACACAAACAGTCTATAAACACACATGCAGACAAGAACCCATATACATTAAAAAGCAAAATAAAATAAAATTAATAAAAAATAACAATCTATAATTTTGTTATTTCATATTGGCATTTTATGTAGTATTCAGTTCAATCTTAAGTCTTTTTTATACATTGATCTGTAACAGTCAGTTTACCAATAAATTCATATATCTTAACAGTAAATCCATTTGACAAAAATTATAGGGATTATGTAGTTTAGTGGAAATCTTTCCTGCAGTGTAGTATCAACTTTTGAACAGTTAAGTCTCAGCTCACCTGTCTCCTTTTTAAAGAGGTCTTCCCTGATTATCATAAGAGAATTACTTCCCTCTGGTCATATTCTTTATTCATATCACCTTTATTCATATCACCTTTTTCTTATTTGTGTACTCATTTTTAATATCTAAAGTTGATATAAACTGTGAGCATCAACATTTGTCCATATTTGTTACAAACTGAATATATACTGTCGAATAAATTAATGTTCCATATGAATGGCTAAAAATGGTTAAAAAGCTAACAAATATTGAAATCTCTTTTAAAGATTCTTATTTTCTTTTTTTTTTAATTGCGAAAGGAAGAAAAAAAACATAAACAAAAAACAAGTTTCCACCTCCTCCCAGCCTCCCATTTCCCTTCCCCTCCTCCCACCCTTCTCCCCCTCCTCCCACCCTTCTCCCCCTCCCCCCACTCCTCTCCCCCTCCCTCTCCAGTCCACAGAGCAGTCCGGGTTCCCTGCCCTGTGTTAAGTCCTAGGTCCTCCCCCCTCCGTCCATATCTAGGAAGGTGAACATCCAAACTGGCTAGGCTCCCACAAAGCCAGCACATTAAGTAGGATCAAAACCCCCTGCCATTGTCCTTGGTGTCTCATCAGCCCTCATTGTTCGCCATGTTCAGAGAGTCCGGTTTTATCCCATGCTTTTTCGGTCACAGTCCAGCTGGCCTTGGTGAGCTCCCCGTAGATCAGCTCCTCTGTCTCAGTGGGTGGATGCACGCCTCATGGTCCCGAATTCTTTGCTCATGTTCTGCCTCCTTCTGCTAAGATTCTTATTTTCTTTGATTTGTCTGAATGTAGGTGTTGTTCAGTTTCTTGCAGTTCTAGTATAAAACTGCTATGTGGAATATAAAGGATAATAATATAAGTCCTCACATCAGTGCACTTACTTGTACTAGGAGAAAGGCATTGGCCTGCTAAGTATGATGTCAGGAATTCTGTGGCAGTGTTGATAAAGAATGGGAGCACGAGGAAAGCAAGTCAGTATTATGAGAAAGTAAAGAAGGATTCATGCCAAAAATGCATTTTAATAGTTGGCTGTAGGCTTAGTCAGGTCTTTATGGAGGGTAGTAAATTAAGTATGTTTGGGGAGAGTCCTGTCACCACTGTGAGGGACCGACTGAAAAGGAGGGAGAAGAGCAAGTGATTTGCTACAGACAGCACAGTCCTTCAGAGAGGAAATGACTGTGACAGTGAATTCAGTGCAGCAGAAAACTCAAGAGCTCATGGCCTGGAATTATACAAGTCAGAGGACTCAGATTTGAGAGACTTTTGAAAGAGACAAACCTTCATATTTATATGTGGGGATCAGTAATAGAGAAGCCAAGAGGGTGTTGTGCTTAATCTAGAGGGACGGTTCTATGGTTGATCTAAATTAGTAAATGTGGGAAAGGTGGGTTTAGAAGGAAAAGTAATTAATTGAGTTTTACACATGTTGTATTTAAGGAGTTAAAAAATAAGGGGTAGCAAGGTAGCACCAAGCCTAATAGCATGAGTTTGAGCCCCAGGACCTACGCAGTAGGAGTGAACCAACTCACACATGTTATTCTCTCACTTCCACATGTGCACTGTGGCACACAACTCCACCTCCCCCATACAAAATAAGTAAATAAAGTTTAAAAATTCTGTGAGTGTGTGTGTGTGTGTGTGTGTGTGCGTGCGTGTGTGTGTATAGTTTCTGAGATTTCTGTTAAGAAAGAAGGAAAGGAAGGAGAGGAGGAAAAAGAAAGAAGTCTTAAGATGGAAATTCAGGCTTTTGCTCAGGATCTCTCAAGAAGTCTAGAAATGGAGGTCTCTGTGTGTGTGTGTGTGTGTGCAGATATGAAGAAAAATACAGTGCACTGGTTTCTTTCCCTTTGAATTAGACATAATTTTCTGCTTACATTCAACCATGGCTCCCGGAAGACTGCTAGATCCTTTGCTCAGCTACAGAACATCATCAAAGAAGTATTAAATCCCCAAGAAAGTGTCACCACTAACATCCCAGAGTGGCCTGTTAATCTCTATGCACTTGACATGGTTTTCAACTTTCTCTATATGTGGCTATGTATATGAGTAGCAGGTAATACAAATACAAGAATAATATACAGTCTGATTTATACATATTAAATGTTAACATCTAAATGGTCTTAATTTTTTCTTTAGCTGTTACATGCATATATTAACAGAGCATCTAAAGAACAAAGGGACAAGTTCCTGAAGAACCGCGGCTTTTCCTTACTAGCCAACCAGTTATATCTTCATCGGGGAACTCAAGAATTGTTGGAGTGCTTCACTGAAATGTTCTTTGGTCGACACATTGGCCTGGATGAAGAGTGAGTTCTCTGCCATAACTAAGAGATCTTTTGTCTTATATATAAAATTAGGTGATCCTTTGGGATCATCAGAAAAAATTCTATAAATCATTTTCCAGGGAATTAATTTATTATTTTATATATGACAATCTTTTTACGTCTGTCTTGGTGTTTTATTCACTAGTTAGAAACTGGAAACAACTGCAGTAGAAAGTGAAAGTGACAGAAGATTTGGCATATCATGAGAAAGCTACCCTGAAAGAAAGGTGGCCCCTTTAATCTCAATTAGATGATATTTGTGACCCATACAGGACATCCTCAGTCCCCTCAGAATCCTTCCTTGGGATTTCTGGATGTGCTGATTGTTCAGATTTGACTTTGGTGTAATGTTTGAGGATTAACAATACAAGCAAAGATAAAGAAAAAAATTCGCTGAAACTAAAAGTTTGGCACAATTTTTTTTCTGTTTGATAGAGAAAAAATATGTATTTCTTTAGTGTGGTAGACAAATTCAGACCTTGGGGAACTTAGATTATTTACTGTGATCATTTTATTCATATGTGTGTATTGCTGGAGATCAAATCAAGGACCTTATGCATGCCAGGCAAGTGCTGTACTGCTGAGCTAAATCCCAGCCATGGTAATTTTAGTAGTATTTTCATTTGAGTGAATTTTTTGTTTTGTTTTGTTTTAGAGCAATTCTGCATTATCTTATTTTAGTCTCACAACACTCTTGTAACGAAATTTGGGCAGACACTATCATACTGATTTGTCGATAAGGAAAATATACAAAATATTTAGAATTCTGCTGCACCACAGAAGCAAGTGATATTAAGTCATGGATGAAAGATTTGTTCATGTGTACTGAGCTATTCTTAGTAGTTCACTGTCACTAAAATAGTTTGTAAATTTTTTCCTTTACACTGTATAGTTCCACATGGCAGATGTTCTTTGAATACAAGATTGTCAGTGGATGAATTCAGATGAATCAATTGAAGTTATGAAATTGTGTGTGTATTTCACCTTAGTATTTATGCATTTTTTTTAGGTTTTGCCTTACTAGATACTATCATCTTTTTTTAAAAAAAAATTACAAATCCTTATTCCCAACACTTTTTTGATAACTTTAAAATCAGGTTAAAAACAGCTTTGTGGTGTCAAACATATTTTTCCAGTTTGTGTCTGACTGCTCCTAACATGCTCTTCCCTGTATCTTATTTATTACAGATTTGATCTGGAGGAGGTGAAACACATGGAACTTTTCCAAAAATGGTCTATCATTCCAGTACTGGGACTAATAGAGACCTCTCTCTATGACAATATACTCTTGCATAATGCTCTCTTACTTCTTCTTCAAGTCTTAAACTCTTGTTCTAAGGTAGCAGACATGTTGTTGGATAATGGTCTACTCTATGTGTTGTGTAATACAGTAGCAGCCCTGAATGGATTAGAAAAGAAGTAAGTTTATTAAATTGCATCTGATAATTTAAATTACATCTAATTAAAATTACATCTGATAAGATCATTAGACTGTTACCTTAAAGAATTGATTTGTTTTAGCCAGGTAATGGTGGTGCACGCCTTTAATTCCGGCACTTGGGAGGCAAAGACAGGAAGATCTCAGTGAGTTCGAGGCTAGTCTTGTCTACAAGAGTTAGTTCCAGGAGAGGTACCAAAGCTACACAGAGAAAGCCTGTCTCAAAAAAACAAAAGAAAAAAAAAGAGTTGATTTGTTTTGTAAAACTTTCAAAGAATTTCTTTCCCACAAAATTAAGTTAACTTGGAGATGGCATGTTTTCATCTCCAAGATGAAATGTTTGATTAAGAATAGTTTGCTTATATGACTTGGTTTTGAGCATTTAGAATTGAAGACGGTAAGTTTACTCTCAGGTATGTTTATCAAGCTTCCACTATAGTCTCTGTAGTTCAACTCCCTCTCCCCTCAGTTAGGAATAGATCAGATAGAGCTACAGAACTCACTGATCCACTTGCAGCTCAGGAACAGCAGAGAACGTGTCTCATCTCTTTTAACTCACTTGCTGCTGTATCACTGATACTATGGTCAGTTTATGATAGTATGTTCTCACTGCTAGTACAAGCTAACTTCTAATAGTCAAAAGGACACTTACAAAGGGCTGCCTGCCAGTTGAGTAAGAGCTTTGAAAAGTAAATTCTTAATTAGATTCTGTGCTTTTGATGTCTCCACATCTGATATAGTTACCATTTTATTAGCATAATTTTAAAATAGGAATCTGTAGATGCACCATCTTATTGTACACCAAAGCACTAAATGTTGTCCATATTTTCACAGAGTACAGAACATATCTGTATCCAGTGATTGTCTGGGGCAAAGATAGACTCCTTATACTCACTAAGTTCAGCTTTCACTGGGCACTTATTATATATAGGGTTCATGTGCTTGTGCATATGAAAAGTAAAAACACAAAGTATTGTATTTCCTCAGCACATTTAGTATTGATTGCACTGCAAAAAATTGGTAAAGATTGGAAGATGCCTATAGGTTTGTTCTGAAAATAGTTTTTCCTAAAAATAAATCATACTGATAGTCCCTGTGTGATACTGTATTAATTGACCCTAAGAAACTTATATTTCTAACCCTTACTTAATTTGAAAAAAACTAAATATAGAAAGTATTTGAGCCTGTGTCATATACCTGAGTAGATCATCAAGGTTAAACTTGTGGGCATAGTAACTGATTTATATTTATTGTGTGTTTATAAGTAATTAATACGTGTTCAAGCTTATTATCCTTCATTCAAGTTCAGGATAACTTTAAACTTATAATCCCTAAAATGAATTTATACAGCTGAAATGCAGAGAGATTAATTAATCAGTTCAAATTGACTAACCCTTAGTTTTGTTACTACACCTTATTCTTCACCCTTCATGTAGGCTAGGAACCTGTGTGAGTATTCCCTTAGTATCTTGTGTTAATCTCTATCTGCTGTATCTGATGCACTCCTAACTTATCTAATTCTCTGCAAGACTGTAGTTTTGACAGGACTCAAAATGTCTTTTTCCATTCCTAGTGTACAGGGTGTATTGCTCACCATAGGGTAAGCAAAAATAAGTATTGCATGAATGCATACTGATAGCATAGAATTTAACCAGCTCTTTGTCTTAAATTGTTGGCTATTTTACTTATAAATGTCTTGGGTTTTTTGTTTGTTTGTTTTGTTTTTGGCTCATTTTAGCATTCCTTTGAACGAATACAAATTGCTTGCCTGTGATATACAGCAACTTCTCATAGCAGTTACAATTCACGCTTGCAGTTCCTCGGGCTCACAGTATTTTAGAGTTATTGAAGACCTTATTGTACTTCTTGGCTATCTTCAGAATAGCAAAAACAAGAGGACACAAAGTAAGAATCAATTTTTAAGAAATTTTTCTCATAATTCTTTTACTGAAAGTTTAAACTTAATTTTGTGTTGGTATTGTTATTAAAAAGCAGCCTTTGGATGGTTGAAAATAGAGTGATTGATGACGTGATATAATTAGTTTCTGGCAATATATTACTGGCAGAAACTAATAACATTTTTTTAACCGAGTAGAATGCAAAGGCTTATGTGGAAGAGGAATGATCTTTAATTTTCTTTAATTGGAGCTAATAAAGTCACTGAAACCTGAAAGCATGCGGATTATTGAAGCTTTTACTTTATACAAAATTACTGATTTTGAAAGTTATTTAAATGAAATACATTTATGTTTGTTATTTTTTAATTCAAATTTCTATAGTAAGGCTGAGTATGATGATACATATTCAAAGTGTAGAGACAGGAGGATCAGGAGTTCAAGTTCATCTTCAGCTACATAGCAAGTTAACAATCAGCCTGGGATACAGGAGACATTGTTTGTCTCAAATAAAATAACAAAAAATTTATAGTGCCCGTAGAGGAATTTTCTTTAACATTATTTTTAACTTATGTCTAAGTTCTTTTCGTTTTGATATTGAATATTGTGGTTTGTTTAGATATTTGAATATTACATACCTTATATAGTAGATGATATATTAATTTAGTTAAAATATTCAAACAATGATAGCTTGAAAACATTCTCGTCTCTTCTGGGTTTAGATATGGCTTTGGCCCTGCAGCTTAGAGTTCTCCAGGCTGCTTTGGAATTTATAAGGAGCACAGCCAATCATGACTCTGAAAATCCAATAGATACAGTCCAGTCGCCTTCTGCTCACCACCATGTAGTGTCTCAGAAGCGGAGAAGCATTGCTGGTGAGTATTAAAATGGCATTTTAATAATTACACATTGAAGGCAGCTATACTCTCCTGTATTCTGATGTCATTTGCATTAAAAGCATTTTTCTTGCTTGGCATGGAGGCACATGCCTTTAATCCCAGCAATATGGAAACAGAGGCAGGTATGTGTCTGGGAGTTTGAGGCTAGCCCTATCTAACATACCAAGTCTCATCTCCAAGGAATTAAACTGTATTTCTTGGTTTAAAAAAAAATTAAAATTATAGCTGGGCAGTGGTGGTACACACCTTTAATCCCAGCACTCGGGAGGCAGAGGCAGAGGCAGGTAGATCTCTGAGTTTGAGACTAGCATGGTCTACAAGAGCTAGTTCCAGGACAGGCTCCAAAGCTACAGAGAAACCATGTCTTAATCCCCCCCCCAAAGAATCTAATTATAAAATCTGAGAGAGTTTTCCTTTCAGCAGAACCATTGTACCAGAAGACGCTGTACAAATCTTGTCCAGGTTTTATCCTAATGGAAGTCATCAGGTTTTTAGGAGGTGCATGATATAATCAGATAGATGTTCATTGTATAGAGAGAACTTTGACTTCTGTGAGGAGTATGGACTAGAAGAAGCAAAGTGCAGAATCCAGGCAGATAGGAGTATCTTGCAAATGAATAGAAAACACATGGTGTCAGAGCTTTCTGTGAATTTGTGTGAATCATCAAATGATAAATGCTGGTACATTTTCCACAAAAACTGCTGCTTCTTTTATAGAAACATAAACTAGAAAGATAACCTAGGATCTATGTTCATATACACATAAACATACATATGTGTCTATTATCTATATACAGTGGATATACATAATTATGTGATAGAATGTAATAGTAGTTTAGCTGCTGCTTAGAACATAGTATCTGCAGTAGCTGTTTTATACACACACTTGGATACATATGAACAAAGTGCTTGGTATATTTCTTGGAGTTACTCTCACAGTTTTAAAGGCTTTTAAGTTCAGACCTTTCTCCCCTTGTACTAATTTTCATCTTTGGGTTCAATGCTATGCAAAATTTTAAAGCCATGTGATGAAAAGCCCACACATAGAAAATACGTCTAAATATGTTTGTAGTAATATGTTTAAATTATGATAAGTCAAACTTACAAAATATTCATGTAACTAAACTTGCTGCCCCTATGTAGTCTTCCTTGTTGAATGTCTGGACAGAGTCTCTCTTCTTGAACCACTCCCCCCATTTTATATGTCTTCTGTCCCACGTAAAAATTGTGTCCTTTTCCATTTCTAACTGTAGTGGTCACTTCCTATATTCCATGGCATGGAATCTTGTTTCTCTAGCAGTATCACTTGTAGGTTTTATATTCTTAAATTCACAGAGGAGGTAGACATTGTTATGTTCCAGATCAGTCTTCGTTCAGCCTCACATGTGGATCATTCTGTTGGGCAGTCCTGAGTTCCTGTCAGCCCAGTGAATGGGGCCAGATTCAGACTTTTCACACATGCGCACACACAGAGAGAGAGAAGGTGGTGGTGGTGGGGAAGAGATGGGAGGATATTTTTGCCTAAATGGTATCATTCTCTACCAACTGTTTATAAAATAACTTCTATTTCTGATCAGTATAGACATCCTTTCACATTAAAGAGCACAAATGTCCTTTAATGGATGTTTGGTAGTTCCTGTATTGTGTGTTGTGATCTTCCCTAGCTTTTTTACTTTGAGCTTTTGCCATTATAAACAAGATCATAATATACAGTTTTTTCAACTAAAAAACTTTAAATATTATCTTCAATACTTAAAAATAGAGGAAGTAGTAGAGTATTATTCGAGATGATATATATCCATGTAAAGTATCATTCATACAGATAGATAATAGATTAGTATAATTAGCACACAAATGAATTTCCTTTGTATTTTAACCAATAAAAATAATATCAACATGAAATATGCTTTATTCTTTTGAGGGATGAGATAAATATTGCATTTATATCCATTATTTAATTAATGTTCTTGATAAAAATGCTCTTCATTCATTCAACCATTAAATAATTAATGTGCACCAGCCACGTACATAGAACTGGAGGGAATGATGGATAAGCATATAAGCAAATGTATGACTATAGTGTCAGATAGTGATAAATATCTTCCTGTGACATAGCTCTGCTTTATTTTTTTTTTAATATATATCTTCTAACAAGGAAACTGGGGCTTAGAGAAAGGAGTGCTAAAGACTTCCCCTGGCCATGTGGCTCTAAAGCATGAGTGCTGAAGTACACGTCTGCACTCACAAATAAAGACCGTGTGAGACTCTTACTCAGTGTCTTACTGCCTTGTCTTGCCCGGGGTATGTTTGTCATTGGATTCTACATAAAGAATCTGTGGATAATGTGAGGATGAATTGACCTTGAAGATTAGAAATATTGTCCAACAATAATATTTTTAATATCTCCAAGGATAATTTTCTTTTTTCTTTTTTTTTGCCTGAAAGGTGACTCTACCCACCAAAATTATTAACTGATTAAAAATACTTACTAGCAGACAATCTAAAAAAACTATTAAAAATTTAAATATCATGTAGGGTGAGTCATTAAAACCTGTAATAGTTTAGTTAGATGCAAGTAATTTGTAAAAACAAGTTGTTGATGGAAATTGATATTTGTTTTCATAATTTAAAACAAAGGTTCAATTCCAGTGAAGGGTTCTATTACTCCTCATATACCAAGACGTCATTTTGGTTCCTATGGCCAGCTTCCGATGCCCTTCTTCAGTCCATTAAATCAAGAATCCTCCCCGCTCTCTCCTGGATGCACCATGTGTGCAGCGCTTCCCAGAGCAGGTGCAGTAAGCGCAGGAACAAACAGCACTTTGCCTTGTTCAGTCTGGGGAGGTGTTTCTTCTCAGGAAATGCTTCCCAAATGATGCGTTTACCCCAATCATTGTACTGACAAATTGCTGGGCTTGTATCTACTTTGTGATTTCTTCACTCTTGCTGACTGATTTCTTATTTGTCATTATGTATAATTTTCCAAACTATAAGATTCAACAGGGATTACCAGGGCATAGTAACATTATTACTAAATTATTATGGTCATGATCATCTCCTCATCCTCTTTCTCCTCCTTTTCTTCTTCTCTCTTCTCCTTCTTCTTCTTCTTTTTTAACCTAAATGTCTTATTCTTTAAAACTGTTGATGATTTTGGAATACAAGGAAGTGAAACAGTGCAAATAGTCGATCAGGTGTCAAAGCCACAGAAGCCCATCTGATACTCTGAGTTTTTCAGAAGACTCAGACTTGGACAAATGATTAGCATCCTCCTGTGTCACTGGCTTCAATGCTGTTATTTTGGACTTTAAATCAGTAGTACTGTTGCACTTCTTTGGAGAAGGAAAAGTGCTAACTTCTCTTACTCTTTTTCCTTAATATAAATTAATTTTGTAATAAAAAGTTTTTCTTTTCATGACAAGTAATCAAAAAATTATAGTAAAAATAAGTTCACTGGCCATCATTTACTGTGGCATTGGATAATTTATGTACTTGAAGGTCCTCGAAAATTCCCCCTGGCTCAGACAGAGTCTCTCCTAATGAAGATGCGCTCGGTGGCCAGTGATGAGCTACACACTATGATGCAGAGGAGGATGAGCCAGGAGCACCCCAGCCAGGCCTCGGAGGCAGAGCTCGCCCAGAGACTGCAGAGACTCATCATCTTGGCTGTGAACAGGATCATTTACCAAGGTCAGAACTCAGTTTTCTCCCTTTCAATGCAGATTTACAGGTTTAAATATGTCAGATGGAGGTGATTAGGTTTGCTTTTTTAAGATGTTATTTTTTCTCTTCTGGAGCCTTATGTCAGAGACTAATACCCTACTTCTTAATGTGTTAAGTACTAGTCTGTGTTAGCCATTGATTTCAAAACAATATTTTTTTCAGCTTTTCTTTTGACAAAGTAATATATTCATGGGCTATTATTAGAAATAATAAAGAGATCCTACAGTTTTTCCCCATGGAATCTTGCAAAATTAAAATACAGTGGCACTCTCAGTAAGGAGACATGGATATAGTCAAGGAGGACATTTTCATCCCCAGAAAGAATTGCCATGTTGCCTTTTTATGGTCAAACTCACTTTCTTCCTCCTCAGCCCCTATCTACCTCCAATTTACCTTGCATTTCTGTATTTTTACAATGTTTTTAGGAGACAGCCAGACACAGTGATTTGTGCCTGTGGCGATCCCAGCACTGAGGTGGGAGAACTGTTTGAACCTAAAATGTAGTAGCAACAAAAGTATTATAGCTGTGTTCAATGGTGCATACTTGTGAAGACTGAGGCTGTAAGATCACAAGTTTGAGGCCACACACACACAATTATATCAGGACTGATGAGTATTCCCTAACATTATCATTCGATAAGTTACCATTTGGCATATATACCAAACCATCAAGTTGCATACTTTATATATAAAATATAATTTCTTTCAGTAAAATTGAAAAATTAAAGCACCATCAGTGAGTCAGAATAGAACTCTAAAAACCATTCAAGGAGTCTGGAGAGATGGTTCAGAGTTAAGAGCACTTGTTGCTCTTGCAGAGGACCCAGGTTCTGTTCTAGCACCCATATGGTGGCTCACAACCATTTGTAACTTTAGTTCCAGGGAATCTGATGCCTTCTTCTGACCTCTGAGAACACCAGGCATGTATGTGGTGCACAGATATACATGTAGGCCTAACATTCATGAAGATAAAAATAAAATTTTCTTAAATTTTATTGAAGAGAAATAACCTGAAGAGAAAGCCAGACTCTGCCTAGAAAACAGGGATAAGAGGGGATGAGCACAGGGCACATCTAGAAGGGCACAGGCCTACACTGGAATGCATAATGAAGGTACATGTTCCTGTAAGGCAGGAAATTAGGCTGAAAGGCTGCGCATGTAAGACTTTCAGGGAAAATACATTTTATCTTTATAGGAAGCAGAAGGATACTGGACACAATTTCTAAATTTTAAATGTGAAAAACTCTAATAGTCTACTAGCAAGATCATAAATGTATGTAAATATAAATTAAGTCTTTTTTAGGATCCAATTATATTTACCATCTGGATAAAACAAGAAAAACCAAGGACACACACATTTTGAAATTATAATGTAAAAAGAGATCACAAAATATTGATTAGGAGTTAAATGAAAGTTTTACTTTTGAAATATTAATGGAAAATCTATTCAACTAGATAGGAGAAAAGCAGTGTGAGCATGGCAAGTCAAGGATACACACTAAGGTAGGTAAGACTAGCAAGATTTAAAAAACCAAACAAACTCTAACAACAACAAATGCTGATATATGGTACTGCAAAATTTAGATCAAGTGGCTCTATTAAAGGAATCAAGCTAGATATGCACATGCTGAGAAAATCTGATGATGTTTTAGAAGTTACACTTAGGAAGAAAAAGAAAATATAATCTGATCTTTGTTTTTAAAAAAGGTACAAAAAATACTAAAAATATCTTTTGAAATCAGACAGCAGCAAAGTTAGCAACTGTTGCATAATCTTGTGAACACACTTAAAACTGTAACTAATAAATTTGTAAAAGGTTTATAATATGCAAACTAAAGTCACAGATCTGTAACTATGTAATTAAGACATTCATTTTCCAGAAAACTGTTAGCACTGTCATTGGGTAAAACTTACACTCATAAATAACCTTTATTAGGAAAAAAAAATCATCGCAAATTTTGTTAGGCTTTATTCGTCCTCTGATGGGAAGTGACAGCAGAAGCTTGTCTTCTTATTCTACCAGTTAAACAGACTTTAAACCGATTATTAAAAAGAAAAACAGTAGCAAAATTAGAGGAGAAAAGTATGGAAACAGTCTATAATTCTAAACATTGCATTTTTTTAGGCAGAATAAAACATAAACCTCTGCCCAGAATAGGAACATAGTAAGGATAAAACTCAGTTCAGTTACACAGTAAGAACAATAACAACTAAGTTATTGTTAAATAATTACAAAGTCATCTTGAACTTAATTAGGATCAACTAAAGGCAGGCGTTAAATTAAGGGGAAGATATCAAAACAGTCAATTTCAGAATAAATGGTGGCAGATTAGCTGGTGTGTGGATTTAAAGTTGCTAAAAGAAAAAACAAAGGTAGTTCTACAATATTGGGACAATGAAGCCCTGAGAAACCTAGGGAAATATAACCTTACATTTGTACAAAAAGACATTGCTTATTTTGGTTGTTTGTAGCAAGGTCTCATTATATATCCCAGGTTGGTTGCAAATTTTGCTATCTATCTGCTTCAGCCTCCCAAGAGCTAGGATGACAAGTAATCGCCATATCATGCCTGGCTAACAATATATTTGAAATGACCATTGTTACAACTACAATAAAGACCTTTTTCAATAGAGTAATTGAAAAGGAAATGAAGGTCACAAGAACTCCCTTAAGATTTAGGTCCAAAAATTTGTTGTAGAGATAAGAAACAGGAGAATGAACTCTGAGGAAATGTAGGTAAAGAGATGAAAATTTCAAACTGTGATATCTGTTTACGATGCTCATAAACTAAGGCAGAAAACACCAAGCAAGAACTGTGAGAACCCTCAGCAGTGAAACCAACCAACCACAACAGTGAGAGGTGAGCAACAGCTAGTAAAACCAGTAACAGGAGTGGGCTTCATCTCAAAACCGCCTGTTTTCAGATGTCACACATGTCTAACACAATCCCAAAGCCCATCTCTCACTGCATGCTGAGGTTCTTAAGAGAAAAACTAAAAACTACTGATTTGACAAGTTAATAAGAAGCAGCACCTACAAAATTCATTCTTATGTTCAATGTAGAACTGTTTTTTCTTTAACATTAAAGACTTTCTAATAGATCTTTTAGCCATCTTAATAGATCAAATCTATGTGATATTCCATATTAAACCTATTTTGAATTTATTCTTTCATTTCTGGGATATCTGTAAAATGGAAAAAATATTGAAATTTTACTGCAATTTTCAAAATTAAAAAAAAATATTCTTAGCTGAATGGTGGTGATGAATACCTTAAATCGCAGGTAGAGGGCAGTGTATCTCTGTGAGTTCCAGGACATTCAGGACACCCAGGGGGGGAGATTTCTTTACATACTGACATTTGATCCTGATATGTTTACATGTAAGTACATGGTAATTCTATTTAGTCCTTGCATTCTAGGCTTTACACTGGGAAAGCTCAGTAAAGTCTATCCAAATAGCCTCAAACCTGAAAGCCCAAATCATATATAAATCATATATAAACTTCATATATAAACTGTGTGTGTACGTGTGTGTGCACATGCATACATTAATTTATAATATAAATTAATTTAGTTACAGATAAAAACTGAAGCACAGCATGAGAAGATTAACCTGCTAAAGCCACACAGCAGCAAGTGGCAGGACATACAAACTCAGGCCATCAGGCTCTGTGCTCGCACTGAGCTAACTAGATAACTACAATCACCACTAATGAGATTATCTGATGTTTCACACTCACCACTCTGGTATCACCAGTTAGTTATTAAAACATGAATATACTCTAAAAAATTATAGGAAGACTAATGATCAATGATAAAACATTAACTTATTAATTTTCAAAGCTATTAAAACATTCCACAATTCACATGCTCCAATGAATACTTTGTGGCAATGTAATAATCCTCTCAAAATTCAAAGACAGCACATCAGAATTACAAATAATATTCACAATGAAGGTCATTCTTACTAATACCACCATACTTTTTCTCTTTTCTTTCTTTTTAAGGCACAGTGTTACTATGTAGTCTGGGCTGATCTAGAACTTAGAGATCCGCATGCCTCTGCCTCCCAGGTGCTGGTTTTAAGAGCATGTGCTACTGCATCAGACCTAACATTTATTTTCAGGTTATTTTCCTCTGTTTGAAATATCCAATTTTAAAATGTCATACAGAGAAGAATTTAAAAAAAAAAAAAGCTGTAACTCAAGTATACTAAAAAATAATCAATTCACCAGCAAAGTAACAAGACAAATTTTCTGACAACTAAAGAAAACATTTTTTAGAAGATTCAGAGAATAAATGCATAAATCAAATTACAGTAAGATAGGAAAATAGGTAGCAATAAATATTTTTTCAAGGCAATGATTAGTGGTCTTCTAATTTCAGTCCTCAAATGAGAGTTTATTTACATTTAAAATTAATTTGGAAAGTAACTGAAGTACTCTAGCTAAGCAAAATCAAATTTTTCAGCTGAACAAGAAAAGCCTGTGGGACAAAGGTGAGCTCAAGCCCCAGTTCTCCTTCCTGTGTCTTAAAATAATTTCCTTAATCTCAAATTTTATTAATTTGTTTATTTACGTGTGTGTGTGTGTGTTAAGTATCCATGCGTGTACAGCAGTAAGGGAAGACAACCATGGAAGCCAAGTCATTGAATCCCCTGGAGCTGAAGTTACAGTAGTTGCCCAATGTGAGTACTGGAAATAAACTCTGGTCCTCTGAAAGGGAAGCAATAGTTCTTAACTGCTGAGCCATCTGTCCAGATACCTATCTATCTTCACAAGTAAGGCTGAAATTAAATAATATGAGTGTATTTACCCACCTTCCATCTAAAGGGTTCAGAAATAATCAAGATTTAATATCTGACTTTATATACTGAAAGCATTCACTTAAGGTTTTTAATAATTCAACATAGTATTTGTTTATAGTTATTTAACAATAGTTTCAGATTATATTTTTTTGTAATTTTTTAGTCCAAATCATTAATTTTTTAAAGGAAATTTCTGAGAGAATAAATTTTAAAATTATATTGTCGGCCCATCCACTCCAACTTGTTTCTTGCTTCATAGAAGTTGTTTTCAACTCTTTTAAGATACTTGTTTCATAGGTACTAATAAAGAAAACCACCACTACAAAAATAATAGATGAAATTTTTTATCAATGACATTTGATAAATACAAAGAATTTAGAAAAGAAAAGTCATATCTGGTTTCAAAGTAAAAAGTAGGAGACAAAATGTTGACAAAGTAAGCAGAGCAGTCATAGGGAAGGGAGAAAACACCGTGGTGAAAAGCATGAAAACCAGCAAACGAGCTGATGGGGACAACTGACTAGTTTCACTCCAAAAGCAGCATCAATATATATGAAGAAATACCTGGAGTCAAACCCAGCTGTTAAGGCTGGAGGGCATGCATGGAGCTCAGGTCCATGATGAGGGGTGTGAATCACTATTAGAACTGACATCACCAGAAGATCTGATCTCATGAGCATTTTTTTTGCAAATTACAATTTAAAAATCATAACTATTAAGACAATACTAGAAAGAGAAATGAGTTCAAATTCACTAACAGTTATAAAAATTGACTTACATATGATTAGATCTTCTTCCTCTATTTGTTTTCTTTCCTATGACTGGAGTGCCAAAATGCTCAGGGTTGGTGAGTGGGAGCTGGTCTAGTGTCTGTGGGTGAGAACACAAACCCATCAAAAGTTATTACTTTGCAAGTGTTTTTTTTTTTCATTTTAAACCAAACCAGTGAAATACTTATGTTTTAAAATAAAATTTTTTTCACTCAAAGAAGGGTAGGATACATCTTTCTTAATGAAAGAAAATTCTAGCTTTAAAGATATTAGAATAAAGATGAATGAGGCCATACTTGGAGAGAGGAAGAAGAGATGGAAAAAAAGCCCTGGTTGCCTGTATAGAAAACTCATTAGCTATTAGAAGGTCACACACACCAAAAAAAAAAAAAAAAAAAAAAATCCTTAAAATAAAAAATAACCAATAGCTTACTCAAAACACACATGTGAAGGAAGACTCCTACTTATAATGGTTCATTCCTAGGATAAGGCCAACCATAGCACAAAATTGTTCCTTGCCCTTAGCAAATCAGAATCCATTAAAAAAATTTTTAATAAGTAGCCAAACTAATCATCAAGAAAGATAAGCACCAGTAGCTTGAAAGGAGGCTCCAAAGAAGATATATTATAACTTGTCAAATGTTTTCTATAATAAATCTTTTCTAACAAAAATGTTTAAAAATAACTTTGAATATTTAATTTCTTGTTTTCCTTTTTAATCTATGTCACAGAATATAATTGCTGTTATGAAAATGAGTATTCCTTCCTTGATATTAATAACACATCTCACCAGAATGTTTTACTTTTCATGAGCTTCTCTTGTCCATTTTTCAGCCTTTATTTCCTGAAAAGTATATCTAAAAATCTAACGACGCTATCCTAATTAATGACCCTTAGATGGTCAGTATTGAAGATATGTTTATTTTCCTTTCACAAGATTGTACACGAGATTGTGAGCAAGCACACGCACACACATGCACACAGACGCTTTTATTCCTCCCTTTCCCACGAATAGAATGTTTGTTAGAAGATAGTTATCTGAGTGCTGGAGAAATGATGGGTTCCTGGGAAAACTGTCAGGACAGAAGTAAGGCTGAGGAGCTATTTAAGGTAAGATCTCTTTTTTTGTTGTTGTTATAAAAGGTGTCTGTGACAGGGCAGAGCACTTGTCGATCATGCACAAAGACTTAAGTTTGATAGTGAGCACCCTCCAAGAGAAAACAAATAAAGGGAAAGGAATACACAGATACAGCTTCTATATACTCTCCTTATCAAGCTTTAATATAGTAACATTATAAAATATTTCTCACTGCTTAACTAATATATTTTTCCCCTCTAGTAGAGGGTAAGCTACTCAAGTAGACACCCATGTCCGCACAGCTCCATCAGTGTCCTTAGCACAGCACTGGCACATGGAAAGGAGTTAATGCATTACACCCCTATTATTCTAACTTTCCTTCAGCAAAACATCAATCAAAATGTCTATCTGCACAGACACAGAGAAAACACCCTCCTTGAAGGCATATCTCCTGTTCAACTATTTCAGGTTATACCTGCCTTATGAATCCAGCTTCAAATTCTCTTTTTAATTTAGCTTATTTCGAGACAGGGTTTCTTTGAGCACTGGCTGTCCTAGAACTTACTCTGTAGACCATGCTGGCCTTGAAACTCAACCTGCTTTTACTTCCCAAGTACTGGGATTAACTGTGTGTGCCTCTATCACCTGGTTTAAATTTTTCTGATAAGAGAAAAACTATTTATTATATTAGATATTTCTTTATACCAAGCCTTCATCAGGTGAAAAGTCAGGGTTTTAAGATCCCGTATTTACTTACTATCAGTAACCAGATATGTGTTCTAAGTGAATATTTATATATAAAACTCATAAATGAAGAAAGAGAATTTCATGATGTCACTTGCCCCAAATTAGTCTGACTTGTTATATGTAACCATCAAAAGCTGGGTATGATGATTCAGTATGATGATTCAAGGCTGTAATCCCAGCACTTGGGAGAAAGATAAGAGGTTCATGCCACAGGTCAATACATTCCGGGGCTACAAAGGGAACAGCTTCAAAAGGTCAACAAAATAAACCTGTAAAACTAAGCCAAATTGTGATGGCACATACCTATAATTCTAGCACATTGAAGAGGCTTTGGGGAGACAAGGCAGGAAGATCAGAATTTCGAGGTCAACCTTGACTAATTAGCAAGTTCAAAGTCAGTAAGTGCTGCATTGAAGAGACCTTGTCTCAAAGAACAGGGAAAAAACTCTCCTTCAGGGCTGGAGAGATGGCTCAGTGGTTAAGGGCATTGCCTGCTCTTCCAAAGGCCCTGAGTTCAATTCCCAGCAACCACATGGTGGCTCACAACCATCTGTAAAGAGGCTTCGCACCCTCTTCTGGCCTTCAGGCATACAGACAGAATATTGTATACATAATAAATAAATAAATATTAAAAAAAATAAAATATCTTATTCCTACACTGAGTGGTTTTAAAGTTTAAAAAAAAAACTCTCCTTCAAATACAATCCAATAATTATTCACTGAAGACTCTTGTATAGAAAACACTGCTGGGGAAAAGAGGACTCACCAAGAAAATGTGGCTATCCCCCTACAGCAGTTTAAATTTTATATAGGAGAAGTAAATAACAAAAATATCACAAAGCCAGAATATTCCAGCAAAGTGCAAAAAAGATAAAGGATGAGTTGACCTAATTTGGGCAAAAAGCCCATGTGATGTGGGAGTTCCCTGTGTGCTATGATTACCATTAATGAATACAGAAACTTCTTTGGACCTATACCAAGGCAGAACTTAGATAGACAGTGAAAGTTAGGCTGAATACTGGGGGGGAAAGGGCAGAGTTAGGAGACGCCATGGATCTGCCGTGCTGAAACTTTGCTAGCAGGCCACAACCTCGTGGTGATATACAGATTAATAGAAATGGGTTAAATTAAGATATAAGAGTTAGCCAATAAGAAGCTAGAGCTAATGGGCCAAGCAGTGACTTAGTTAATATAGTTTCTGTGTGATTATTTCGGGTCCAAGCTAGTTGGGCGGCCAGAACCAAGAAGCAGCTCTCTCCTTGCAATATCCATGGAAGATATTACACAGCAGAAAGCATTTCTGGTGGCCTTAAGAGAAGATTCCAGCAAATGGAGAGGATCTGGACTAAACAGGAATCAAAACAGTACAAACCACAGTTTGGAAACATCAAGCACTCTAAAAGTATAGGGAGCGATAGACTCTGAGAAATTTAAAATATAAATGGTGATTCAATTGTTGAGGGAAGCTTAAGTATTTTCAATACAAAACATGGTCTAATATACAAGTAAGTAATACTGAAGTGTCCCATAACATGCACTCTTCTAAACGAAGAGGACAAAGGTATGACAGTTCAATCACACTATCAGCCACTTTTAACTTTTACTGGACCAAGCATATCATGTTACTTTATGATGCTGACTCAAGCTTCTGAGTTCAGATCCTTGACCCAGCTTTTAAGTAAAGAACTGACTTTGGTGCTAGAAAGCACTAGTCTGACTAGTTCTGTCCATCAGTCTCCTACAGACAATTAATCAGGGGTAATTAACAACAGTAATCACAAATAACAGAGACTGTAACAATGTGCATAAGTCACTTAGCAAAGCCTCTGGTAGATGAATGTACTTCATTCCGAAATCTGACTAACGAGAACTCAGCTCCCTTCCTGTGCCGGGCACTATAGCAGGAACGATGATCAAAGCAGCAAAGAAGACAAATCACCTGTTTTTTCGATACATGCTACCTAAGAAGGCAAACCTCAAAAACAAACAAATAAAATATACAATTAAATGTCAGTAAATGATTAACATTATGAAAAAAAGAGAACGCAATGTAAAAGGATGAAGAGGGTGACTTCAGAAAGGAAAGTCAGAGAAAGTTATAGCAATGTTAATATGAAGTAGTTCCTGACTGCTTGTCATCTTTATAGCAATAAACTCTTCTTTTTTAAGTATTTTTATTAATTCTTAAGAAGCCTTTAAACTCTTACACAACCTGAGTGGGATAATAAATCAGACACTTCTTTCTCACAATTATTTATGAATTACATAAAGCTATATAGAAAGTCAGGCATAATGGTACGATGACTATAGTCCCAGCACCCAGGATACAGAACCAAGAAAATCATGAGTTCAAGCCCAGCCTGGGAAATCTCTATTTAAAACGAAGGAAGTAAGAAAGAGAGGAGGGAAGAAGGAGGAGGGGGAGGAGGGGGAGGGAGGGGAAGCCTCAAGGTGACTAAACAAGCCTATTATTTTCTTCATGGAAAAGTACTGAAATGCTTTAAACAATAAAGAAGACAAAATTTGGTATCTGAACTCAGGACTTTCAATATAGTTCGCAGATCACATCATAATGGCATTTAAGTACTCAGGAATTTCCTGATTAACAGGTTTGTTCATTGAATTGAAAAAGCAGAACTTTACTCCCTCCGTACAAAATACATCAAGCCAGCTATAGTGGAGAGCTTTGATCCCAGTGCTCAGGAGGCAAAGGCAGATGGATCTCTGTGAGTCTGAGGCCAGCCTGATCTATATAGAGTGTCACGACGGCCATAGCTACATAGTTAGACCATGTCTGAAAGGAAAAAGAAAAAAGGGGAGCAGAGGAAGGGAGGGAGGAAGGAAGAAAACCCTGAGAGAGGGGGAGAGAGAACCCGTAGATATACACATTCACTACAATCACTTACTTCACTTTCAGCAAAATGCCTCTCTCCTTTCAAGCACAACGAAGATCGTCTCAGTGTCTTCTCATCTCCATCATCAAAAACTATGTGAGGAAGTAAAAATGGAAGCAAACTGAGAAACTTTTTTAAGATTAACAAGTGATGTCAGAAGTCCTGTGTGCAAATAGTCTCATTTTTAAGAATTACATTTGGAATTCAGTTCACATTTCATATTTTCTAACAAATGACTTTAATTATAGTTACTAGAGTAGTTTGCTGTTTCTAGCAAAACACATCTTAAATATGTATGTCTTAGGCGTGTGTGTGTGTGTGTGTGTGTGTGTGTGTGTATGTGTGTGTCTTATGCCAGTGAAATGGTTCAGTGGATAAAGGTGCTTTCTGCCAACATCTAAAGACCCCAATTCACAGTAGAACAGAAAATGCACACATGCTTGCTCTCTCGCGTGCGCGCGTGCGCTCTCTCTCTCTCTCTCTCTCTCTCTCTCTCTCTCTCTCTCTCACACACACACACACACACACACACACACAGCATTTCAAGAGGAAACCATTTAAATATTCATTAATCCCTCTCAAAACGATTAAGAAAAGAAAAGCAAATCTGCTGGCAGACAACCATAGATTTACCTCAGATATGGGAAGTTCAACGAATTTAAAGACCATTTGTCCCCTCCCCCGAAAAAATACCTACATCTACATTACAGTAAGGTTCCTCAATCTGAACACTCCCCACACACAAATTTTACCAGACAAGCTGCTGTATGACAACCTTACAAAATGGGGAACTCCACCCAAGAAAGACTCCATTCCCAGATGTCACAATCAAAACTGTTTCCAGATACTGCCAAGTGTTCCTTGAGGGGACGAAACTGTGATTTGCTGAAGGTCCTACAATGTTTGCTATGACTGATGGAGGCATTAACTTACTTGACTGTGATAACTGTGTCACCACTTGAAAATTGCTGAACATACAGAACACATGTCTATTTATGTCAGGCGGTAATGGCACACACCTTTAATCCCGGCACTCAGGAAGCAGAGGCAGGCAGATCTCTCTCTGTGAGTTCAAGGACTAGTCTGCAAGAGCTAGTTTCAGGACAGGCTCCAAATCTACTGAGAAACCCTGTCTCAAAACTACCCTGCGCCCCCGAGGAAAGAAAAAAAAAAAAAAAACCTTCAAGAAACCCTATATTCCTTAGAATATCCTGTACAGTTTCAAATAAAATTATCATATCTGAACTTTAAATTTTTATTACATTTGTTCTCTGACCTCTACACACGCTATAGTACACATTCTGTCTGTCTGCCCCCCCCTCTCTCTCTCACACACACACACACACACACAGTGTGACAATAAAATTATCAGAACTGAAGTTTAAATTTTTTTATTACATTTGTGTGAAAGCATGCATTTGTGTGTCCTAATTAGGGTTACTGTCACTGTGATGAAACACCATGACCAAAAATAACTTGGTAAGAAAAGGGTTTGGCTTACATTTCTAACTTATACATAATAGTCCATTACCGAAGGAAGCAGGACAGGAATTCAAAAAGAGCAGGAACATGGAGGCAGGAGCTGATACACAGGCCATGGAAGGGATGCTACTTACTGACTTGCTCCACTTGTCTTACTCAGTCTGCTTTCTTATAGTACCCAGGACACTAGCCCAGGAGTGATCCCATCCATAATAGGCTGGTTCCTCCCATGTCAATTACTAAGTAAGAAAAGCCTTACAGGCTTGTCTTATTATTTTCTTAGTTAAACCCCCTCCTCTCCAAAGTCTCTAGCCTGTGCCAAGTTTACATAAAACTAACTAGCATAGTTATGTGTATGTGTGCAGACTTGCATGCATATACCACAGATCAGAGGACAACTTGCACAAGTTGGTTCCCTCCTTCCACCATGAGGATAACAAGGATTGAACTCTGGTTCAGGTTTGATGGTGACTGTCTTTATACAGAGGACCACTTCACTGGCCCACAGCACTAGAAGTCCGGGACGAGAGGCTTGTGAGTTGAGGCCAACTCTACACAACACACACACATGCATACAAGCGCGGTGTGCACTCGCATTCAACTTGACAAAAATTTCAAAGGATTAGTGGAAACAGTCTGACAAGGACTGGGGAAACATATTCATATACTATTGGTTATCTTCAAGACAGGCAGGCAGTTTTCACTCAAGTTAAAAAGCACATGTCCCTTCAACTTCTATTTACTCCTTCCTCAGTGCACAAGAAAATATCAGGATGATATGCACACAATAAACATTCATCTATTACTGTAACAGCAAGACTAGCAGAACTGAAAATGAGAGTAAATCTAGTCACTAAAAGAAACTCTGTTATACAACAGGTTGGACAACTAACACTACTAAACTCTGCACTTAGAAATGATGAAGATGGAGAAACAAGTTTCTTTAACATGTATGTTGAAGTGAAAATGAGAAAAATCCAACAACACACTCTATATACTAAATAATTTCAAATTATATGTACATATGACAGCTTAGAAATATTCTTTTAAGATCTAGAAGATAACCAATACTAGTAACAGCATCTATGACATTAGTTAAGGAAAATTAATCCAGGAAATCTGGCTTTATCTGCATTGTTGCAACATATATTTTACACGACTAAAAATGAATTTTTAATAGAAAATTACTGTCTTACCTACAGTGTACCAACTTGCATCTGTCAGTTTATTGATAACAGCTTCCTGATAGGCACCATCAAGATTCTTCACTTCCACAATAGCTCCCACCTAAAATATTATTTAAGTATTAGAAAAACTTTTTAAAGACAAATGAACCAAAAGGCAATAAATAATAACAACAAACCTTGGTTGTTTTTTTTTTTTAATGAATACATGGTGAATGAAAGAGTTACTGGTTTGATCTGTGTTGAAGATCCCTGTAGTTTCATTGACAATACTTTTCTACCTATTAACAGTGAAAATTCCCATATACTAGATAAATGTATTTAAGTATTACTAAGAAAGCACTTTTACCCCTATAGGCCTGTAAAGGGGTCTTGAGAACTCCCAGGGGTCATTACAGTGTGCTGAGAAGCACTGCCTGTGAAAATAACTGTCTTTCCTTCACCTTTCTTTCAAGAAAGCTGATGATGGACAGAGGTAATCAAAAAAGTCCTGAGCTCTCCTTAAGGGTTAGACTGTGCCACTGCTGACAAGCATTTACAGTACTTTCTATCTAATCATAAAAATGCTGGTATTTACACTTGCAAGGTTCTTACAGTGGTTATTAAACAGTCCTGATGGTAGATACCTATGGGCCAGTGCCAAAATATAGCAAACTAGATAGCAAAGAACAATGGCTTTGTCTAGGATGAGCTTGTGTACTGACAATCCAAACAGCACATCTTCTCCACCTGTAGCTGTGAACCTGTCTGAATCCTGGCACTGACATTAATGCTTGTAAAACTAGAGTAAAATTACTTCTTTTCTTCAGTTTCCTCTTCTATAGAGTTGTTCTCAAGACTAAATAAAATACTAGATGCAAAATGATTTGGCACAGCACTAGCACACATTAAGTGCTAAGTGGTAGCTAAAGTCATAACTGTATATGATTTGTCTTCTGGTCCTTGCAAGTAACAAATGGGTACATGAAATATTAAAGATGATGCCTACAAAACAGAAATGATGTGAAATTCTTTTTACAAGCCAAAAGTTAGTAATAAGAAACATTTTTATTTTTAACGGAAGAGTTTTAGAAGTCCACAGTTCCAAGTAAGATACTTTTCTCTACAAAGATCTACAAGATGCTTCTTCATTCTTCTTAGTATCCCCTAGGATTCCTCAAGCCTAAACATCGGTCAACCTCAGACATAGTGGTTTCCCAAACTCCCTACAGCTGGCTTACTGGCAAACAAGAAGGCAAAGCAATATCTATCCCACCAGTGAATGAAGAACAAATGGGTCAACCTCCCAGTTACCCGCAGAAGATTTTATCTGCCAGCAGGTGGCTCCAAAATCAAGAGTTCTGGATTTTGTCTTAATTTTCTCACATTTTAGAGCATAGCTCTTACATCTTACACCTCTTATTCCTGGAAAACCCATTCCTGCAGTAAAGGAAAACCTGTATGAAAGCAGTCACTGCCTCCTTGTTGTTCATTTTATTTTAAAACTGATTTTACTATTATTTCAGATGATTTAACAATAAGTACATCCCAATTAGGAAAAGCTATATATCAAATTAACAATGAGCCGGGTGGTGGTGGCACACACCTTTAATCCCAGCACTCGGGAGGCAGAGGCAGGCGGATCTCTGTGAGTTCGAGACCAGCCTGGTCTACAAGAGCTAGTTCCAGGACAGGCTCCAAAGCTACAGAGAAACCCTGTCTCGAAACCTCCCTCCCCCCACCACCAAAAAAAAAATTAACAATGAATAGCCAGTGAATTAAAAGGAAAAAGAACAAGTATCAGTCTCCAGTCAAAACTGAGGAAAATAATGACTCACCTTCAGTGGGCCCTTGATGTGGTGATCCTGAACCTCCACTGTTGAAGAATCATGTCTAAAGGTCACCTAGAAATTATGAATCCACTGATCAAATTCACATGTGTGCACGCACACACACAGACACACACAAAACAATATTAGCTCATCTATGTACAAATAACACAGACTAAATAAAAATCACCTAGCCTAAATGAGACCATTTTCAAACATCAAACGGATTAATAGAAAACTTTTTTAAACAGATTTTCTTTTCAAAATGAAAATAACCACTGACAGACACAACACCTATAAGGCTGGTTGTCCTATCCATCATACTGTATTCTACCACTGATTACTTGAGCTCTACAACTTTTGTCCGTAAAATTTTAGGAAAAGAAGTAATGGTCTTAACCTATCAGTAATTGTATCATTTTGTGAAGGCCTAATTTAATAGTAAGCAGCGGCTACAAACTTGCTTTTTCTGTTGTTGTGTTTAGAATTACCACCACCACCACCACTCCTTAGACATGGTGTCTCTGTGTAGCTCTGGCTGTACTAGGACTTACTCTGTGGACCAGGCTAGACTCAAATTCAGAGATCTGCCTGCCTCTGCCTCCCACCGCCTAGCTTTGCTTTGGATTTTTTGAGGCAACATCTCACTATGTGGCTCAATCTGGCCTCAGGCTCCTTAGTGCTTGGATTACCACACCCAATAGCCACAACAGTTACTCAGAACTAAGTATCAAATTCAAGGATCAAATTTAATATCCAACATAGTAGCTCAGAGGTAGAGTACTTAACACAGAAAGCCCTTGACTCGAATCCCCTACATGGAGAAGAGGCAGAGAATCACCCCTCAAAACTCTATTCCCCTTTTGTTGAAAACAAAACCAATAAACAGAAAGTCTAAATGGTTCAGGATGATATAATTAAAATATCATAGTGCTAAGATTCAAATATTGCTAGTCTTTCCCAGAACTTTTTATACTTTGTATCAGTACTATGGAAACCAGAGAAAGGGAAAATGGTTAAGTTGAAAAAAAAATATTTTTGGCTAGATCTCCCTATGAACCTCAGGCTATCCTGGAACTCCCTATATAGACCAGGGTGGCCTCAAAATCAGAAATCTGCTTGCCTCTGCCTTCCAAGTACTGGGATTAAAACCACGAAGGCCAGAAAAAAAATTTATTTTGCTGGTTAAAAAGCATCATAGAACCAGGTAATATAATATAATCCCAACACTCAGGGGGCAGAGGTAGGAGAGTATCTGTAAGTCCAAGCCTAGCCTGGTCTACATAGCAAGTTCCAGGACAGCCAGAACTACATAGACTCTGTCTCAACAAACAAAAATAAAAAAGAAGATGCAAAGAAAAGTACCATATTCAATACTGACATGGTTCTCTTGAGCTCTATATAAAAGAATTCTTTAAGAATTGATGCATAGCCAGGTGGTGGTGGTAGGAGCACAGACCTTTAATCCCAGGTGGATCTCTGTGAGTTGTAGGCCAGCCTGGTCTACAAAGTGATTTCCAAGGCAGCCAGAGCTACACAGCAAAATCCTGTCTTGAACCCCACCCCCCTAAAAACTGATGCATTAGCATGTTCTTTAATAGAGTCTTGTGGTCAACAGGAACGGGCCAACTATGCAAAGAGATTTTTTATATATATATATACCCAGCATTCCATGCATTTCAGTGTGACAAAAAAAGCAGCATTAAGCCGGGCGGTGGTGGCGCACGCCTTTAATCCCAGGACTCAGGAGGCAGAGGCAGGCGGATCTCTGTGAGTTCGAGACCAGCCTGGTCTACAAGAGCTAGTTCCAGGACAGGCTCCAAAACCACAGAGAAACCCTGTCTCGAAAAACAAAAACAAAAACAAAGCAGCATTAAGATTAAATCTTAACACAAGAATCCCAACATCTTCAGATAACACGTGGTATGGAATAAATGGCCAAAGATTAAAGCTAATAGTAAAGAAATGTATCACCAAGTCTGCTTAAAATGTATTCTCTTTGTTTGAGACAGGGTGATTCTATGTAGCTCTGACTGCTCTGAAACTCCCTATATAGACCAGGCTAACCTAAAACCAGAGATATCTGCCTGCCTCTGCCTCTGCTTCCCAAGTGCTATGAAGACATATAACACCAACACTCCTGCCTGACTCAATAAACGGATTTTTATTCAGCCCCAGGATGGTGACAAATAACTGGGTGCTCAGGAAACAGAAGTAACAATGTCAAACAGAACAGGAAATGTCACCGTAAGAGCACCCACTTAACCACATTACAAAGCAACTCCAGGCGCCAGCGTGTGAAATGTAAGAGATGGCAGGGCCAAGATGAGCATCCTTTGGCTTCAGTTAACTTAGAGGAATTATCACATAGTTTTTAGCCATATAGAAGTCAGAATTGCTCAGGAAGCTTTAGCATATGCTTAAGAGAAACACTCAGACAGCAAGTACAGCTTCAGGGGAAATATCATACCTCTTCCACTTGGTTAATTATTCAAATCAAGGGTTGCATGGCTATCTGTTCATCTACCATGTGCACCCTCCTATCTCCACTCTCTTTGCATCTAACAGAGTACTTTGAAAGGTCACAGCACCCAGTACATTACTGGCAAGTGAGTAGGTACCCATAACCCTAAGATGTTTCACTGGTTCTTAGTTTTCACTGTCCTGAATTTTCAAATATAAAGGCATCTTTCTTCTATTAAACACACATTCATTCATTCATCTACTCATACTTTGTGCCGCTATCTTCAAACCCAGGGCCCTGCTCAGGACAGGCAGGTGTTCTACCACTAGGCTATATATCTAGTCCCTTTCTCCTGCTTTTGAAGAGAATCTATGATCTTAGGACCATGCTGGTCTCCAATTCCTAAGATGAAATGATCATCCTGCCTCCACACTGTAAATAAATGGTACATAGTTGTAACCTCACCAGGCTTATGTTAATTTCCTAAAAATGAAAAACAAATTTATATTTGTCCATTAACTAAGTCAAAACTCAAGTAGTTCAAAAAGATTTTCTTCCAAAAAGGCTGAGGGCCAAATGTCAGGTGCCATACACTTCCAAATTCCAACACTAAAAAGGTTGCAGTTTGAAGACTGCTGTGAGTTCAAGGTCAGCCTGGGCTATGTACAGCAAGACTCTATCTCAAAGCAATAGGGAAGGGAGAGGAACAAAATAAAGGATGGGCTGGGGATCTTGCCTAGTATTCCCAGGGCCCACAATTCCATCCAGGATCACAAAAAGGATGGTGAGATGATATTTTGCTATAGGAGGAAACATAGTTCTGGTTGGCTAGAAACTTGATATGGAAACCAGGCTGGCCTATGCCTCCTGAGGACTAGTATTAAAAGAATGTATCCGGCCACTGTTTTCATATAATAAAACTAAAGAATCAATTAGATGGTTTCTAAGATCTTTTCTAACACTAAAATAGTAACCCAAAAGAACCAAGTCTGCAGTGAAATTATCAGCTGTGATAAGCAAATTTTATTCCAATTTGAATATTTTAAAACCACAAATATTGTTTAGTTTAAGAATGGTTTTATAGCCACCACTTTTAAATACTCATTTTGCACAAAACTAATTTTTAGATTTTTAGACTTAAAGAATCAAATATTTAATGACTATTAATAATACTGTACCTTGACTTTGACAAGTCTTTTTGCAGTCTTGATCTTGGCTTCACAAAAGGCTCCTCTGTATTTGGCACTCACATCAGTGCCCACTGTCAAATAGGGAGGCTCATCGAGGGCCTAAAAATGCAAAGAAATAAACGTGGTTTACACTGCATAATTTTCCCCCTACCATCAGGTTTCAGAGTATATCTAATCTTGTTATAGCAATTTAAGCTATAATAATGAAGTGTACTTTAAACAAGCAATCTATAAAGTATTATGAATTAAAAAATACTATGAATTAAAAATAATAACATGTATCACAGACTAATGAAATGTACGTCATGTAAAATGAAGACATTTTTCCCTGTTAAACACATATGGTTCATAAGATCACTCACAGATGCAGCCTTCTATTTAATGTTCCCACCATCTATTCATTCATTGACTTACTAAAATATACAGTTATTATATGACCACTCAATTTGCTAGTTAGCAGATCTTAAATCTCAAAGCACAGACAAATGTCTTCTAACAGGTTACACCTTGTAGCCATCCAGATTCAGAATGGTTCTGTTCTTTACCTACAGAACTCTAAGACAGAATAAAAGGCATACATGTGTTCCCAACTATTGCTAAAAGCCACATGACGTAATCCATCCTGTACTGTCTCAAACTACTGGCAGAATGCTTTAATATAGATTCACTGTTGGTCTGTTCTTCTCTCTTAAATAATATACTGCTCACTTGTGGTTTTGATTTTACTGGTTCTAATCTGGCTGCTCTGATTTTTACAGTAGGCTGCATTTTTGCACTGGGTCTTACATTCATCAATTCCATAGTCAAAGGAAGATTATGCAATAAGCCTTTCCCCAAGTTGTCTTATAAGAAGTATTAATAGCCTAAGATGTTCACCAAAAAGAGGCAGCAACAGTTTGGAAAAATTCATTATTAAATAATCCCTCTGCCTCCTCTTTTAAAACTTCATAAGTATGCTAAAAGGCCTAAAAAGCCCTACAATAAAGACAAATACTCAAAACTATCAGTCAGCATGTCCTAATCTATTTGTCCAAACCCTTTCCATCTTAATATCATTAAAACCCTCCAGAAAGCCCAAAAAGCTTCAATCCTGCCATGAGCACCGTAACTTAGGTCACCTGTAGCATGGAAACGTCAATCTAAGCTCACCCCACAATGTTTTAGCTAATGAACAGCACAGAGCACATATTCCAAAGTGACAACCAAGTGCTTGCAACTTTAAGATTTCTACAACGGCATTCACTTCTGGCTACAATTAGGCATATATGTGCTCTAGGATAGCTATGAAGGCAGCCCAACATACCAACATAATTTATAGATGAAAATATGTCAAAAAGTTGGATACCCTGATATATATTTCACGAACCTAAAAAAAATGTCTATAGCCATACTAACATCCTGAACACACCTGATCTTGCCTGATGCTGAGAGCTAAGCAGGATCAGGCCTGGTTAATATTTAGATAAGAGACTACTGGGAATACTGAATACTGTGGGCTTTAAAAAAAAAAAAAGATCTTATGATATACAACCCAGGTGGGCAATGAAATTAAGAACCACTTTTCTCAGTCTGTCAAGTAGAAATTACATGTATGTGTCTCAAAATGTTTTGTACTGCTGTTTGTTCTTTAAAACAGGATCTCTGAACCTATGAAGCCCTGGTTGGCCTGGAAATAGCTATGTAGACTAGGCTGATCTCAAGATCACAGATCCATCTGCCTCTGCCTCCAAGTGCTGGGATCAAAGACATGACCACCATACTGAGACTGAAAAATGTTTTGTTTTTTAATAAATCTAGTGTACACTTTTAATTTTTAAAAATATTTTAGTGTGCATAGTAAGTTTGCACCACAACATTTGTGAAGATCAGAGGAACATTTGTGGGAGTCAGTTATTTTCTTCCAGCATACAGGTTCCAGATCAGGAGGCTTGGCAACAAGCATTCTTACTAATATGCTTTCTGAACTTAAAAAATGTCTACTAGTCAAGCAGTACATTTAGGCTGTAATATGAGTGAAGAACCGCTTCTTCATTGTTATTAATGTTTTAGTGTTAACTATAATTTGGTAACTTTATGTTGCTTTTTACATATTTTTATGTGTTTGGAATGCATGTATGTCTATGGACCCTATGTGTTCAGTGGCCATGGAGAACAGAAGAGGACACCAGATACCTTCAGACTGGGATTACAGACAGTTGTTGAGATACCATGTTGGTGCTGGTAGTCAAATCCCAATCTTCTAGTAGACCAGACAGTATTCTTAATCACCTCTCTATCTCCTTTACGTTGCTCTTTTAAAGTTCACAAATGTATATCTCCTACCAACCCACCTTAGCCCTCTTAAAATACCATTTTCCTTGGCCAAATTCTATACAGAATGGATTTAGTGGTTTTATTTTACAAAAAATAAGGAAAGGAAAAGGTATCGATCTTTAGTAATAATCATTACAGAACACACATATAAAATCATCACATTGTATCTTGAATACCATCTTTATCAAGTGAATTTGCAAGTTAAACAGGAAAAAAACTTGAAGAAAAATTCAATTCATTTTGTGATTAAGCAGTTATGTAGGGACAGTCTTCAGTACCATATTAAAACTACTTTCCACAACTCACAACTTGCATTAGCAATGCATCCTTCCTCCCCTGCTGGTCAGTAACATTTTATTCCACAGAGAAATAGTATCTAACTAAACAAAAACTAATGAAGAACCCCAAATTCTGAGCTACAGAAATAGTCACTAAAAGCTACCCAATTGGACCTGGGAAGATGACTCAGTCGGTAAAGAAACTGACACCCAAACTGATCCCAAAAACCCACATGCAAAGTCTGGTGTGTAGCTGCAACTCAGGCCTTAAAGAAGATGACAGAGATGCTCCTGAAGTTATTGGCCAGACAGCCTACTAAAACTGATGTGTTTCAGGTTTAGTACGAGACACTGGCTCAAAAATTAAGATGGAGAACAATAGAGACACTAGATGTCAACCACTGGTCTTTATATACACAGGCACCCAGCACTCATGCACATTTGGATAGTGCTTCATATGTGTACCTACACGGAAGCAAATAAATATTTCACAAGGAAACTTTGGGAGTGGATAAGAGGACTCTGTGTATAAAGATCCTATACCAAGTCTCACAACCTAAGTTCAATCTCCAGGACCCAAGGTATAAGAAAAAAAGCAAACAAAAACCCTCCCCCAAGTTGTTAGCTGACCTCCACAGGTACAGCATGGTCAAACTTTCATAAATAATGTTAGTAGAGACAGTAATCATGGAATCTGTCATTAGTTGATCATTTGCTAACAGCAGACTTGATTAACTACACAGACCTTCACAAGTCAAGGTCCTAATCTCAGATAATAATAGATGGGTTGGTTACTTTACTAAACCTATCTACCCTTTAATTTGCATATCATAAAAATAAAGGCATTATCAGAAAGGACTGAGGCCTAAGTAGTTAGCTACTAACAATATCATTATGAAGCTCTCTATGTGGGCAAATCAGAAATTACATCAATACAAACACATGTGGCTACCTCCATTTTACCTTTGTAGTATTTCAGAAGCAAACCTCACTTGAAATGACTGCTCAACATAAACTGTTGCAAATTTTTAGTACTAAATCGAATAATAAAGTTCAAGATAATTGACATGTATAATGATTTCAGAAGTACAGAACTAATCAAAGACATCATATTATAAACAGAGTAATATATATAATAACCACAGTAGTTTGGTATGTGACTGAAAATATTCCAATCAAAGTCTGTATCAATGCATGGCAATGCACACCTTTAATCCCAGCATTCCAAAGAGAAACAAAGGTGCGTCTCTGAGTCTGAGGCCAGCCTGGTCTACATAGTGAGTTTCAGGCCAGCTAGGGCTAAATGGTAAGACCCTGTCTCTGAAAAAGAAAATAAAGATTCCTTTTTGTTCATTTCCAAACTGGTATGTACTACGCCTTTTAACCTTTTAACTGTTCCTGCACATAACCTTAAGCTGGCTGCTACCAATTATGAACTCATCAACAACTATACCATCTACTTCCCTTCCCACATTGTCTTAAACATTATTGGGTTTTTTGTTGTTGTTGCTGTTTTTCACAATTTTAAATAGTTGCATTTAAATATTATGATAAATTTCATTTTAACATTTTCAAATATGCATATAATATACTTTGATCAATCACATTCATCCCTCATTACCCATACTTATATCTATGCCCTTATTACTTTTAAAGAAACCCCAGGTACTGCATTAATAAAAAAAAAATTCTTATCTGTAGTGACTGGGATTCAGAGTTAAATTCTCTTGTATGGGCTGGAGATATGGCTAAGCATAAGAAGCTACATGCCGATCCACAACACACATACACAAAGCTGGATGTGGGGATGCATATGTGTGGCCCAGCATTGGAGGGTATAGAGAGACAGGTAGATCACAGGGCTCACTGATCAGCCAGGCAAGTCTAAATGCCCAGTATCCTGGTTTGGAGAAAGACCATTTCCCAAAAAAATTAGGTAGAGGAGCTTGCCAAATGGCTTGGTGGGTACAAGCACTTTCCTAGCAAGCCTGACTACCTGAGTGGTCAGACTTCCCTAGAAGTCACAGAAAAGTAGAGAAGAGAACCGACTCCATGAACGGGTCCTCCAACCTCCACACACTCCATGTGGCATGCACACCTTCCTGAATCATACATACATTTGAAAAGTCATTTTTATTACTAAAATATATTTGTAAGGTAAAACTCATTAAGGGAATATACCAAACATCTACTCTCTGGCCTCCAAACATGTATACATGGGTAAATGTATATATAAAACATCTATATCCCACACTTTTATATTAATAAAAGACAATATAAAATATTAGGAATACAACACCAACCTCTGTAGGGGTGTAACTCAGTGATAGAGCGGGAGTTTTGCTTAACTCTATCCCCAGCACCATCCATCCCAAAAAGGGCAGATTCCTCAATGAGATACCTAGGTTCAAATCTACCACTTTAGAGCTAAAAGGATCATTGCAAATATACACACACAAAAGATACATAGTATATATAACAGTTCTTGCACATAACCTTATTGGGTTA